GGCTTGGGTGGCAGCTGCTACTGTGGAGATGGAAATGATCCATTGTAAAACAAATACATTATGCTGTATAGAAAAAGGAATGATTGTTTTTAATTTATTTTTCAATGAGACACTGAGAAGTTGCTTACCTCTAATGCATCTTAAACCAAATGTAACACGTGTAAGGACAGTCATGTACTGCTATTTTGGTGAATCAAAACTTGAAAAAGCCCACCATTTTGTAGGATTTGTGGAAATGTGATTCTTTTGGACATGGCATCTCCATAGAAAACAGATATTGGAATGGTGCTGGCATGGGTGCTTGCTCAGATTCTACCATTGCAGACTATTGATCTTGATAAATAGAGAGGTTGTTGCACTGGGCTGGTAAGCAAAAATGACCATGTTAATTTAATCACCATGGAAAGGACTCTGCCAAGTTAAGAAACATACATTTTAATTATCGGTAGACATGCATATTTGCGTTGTACTATATGCACATTCAGCTGTGACACCAATAATACCTTGGTTTATTTAAACAGGAAGAAGTTTTAAATGACATTTTTGTTTTCATTGATGAATTTTGTTGATTTACTCTTCTATTTTGCTTAGTTCTGGCTTTCAATGTGTGCTATTCCGTGCATCTCCTACTAAGCAGATGCTATTGTATTTGCAATACTAATCAAAAGGTAACTTAACTACAAACTGTCTTAAAATTGTTATATTAAAAAAGAGTAAGCTTTTAGTTATATGGCTTTTACTAGTAGTTATTACTTGTTATAAAGATTATGTTCTATGAAATTGCTATGTCTGAAGAAGAGCTTGTGATAAAAACTAGGAGTTACAATAGAAAGAATTTAGAACAATTAGTAAGTAGCAAATGTTATTACCTGTATTTAAACAGGATTTGGATGTGATTCAAGAATTTAAAGAGCCATAAATTCTACATGAACACTGGAGAAATTGATTGAAACAGTAATTAGGTGTAAGCAGTGAAGCACCTGGGAAATGATGATATAGGAGGTTCTGACTGACTTTTTTCCTCCCAAAGGAAAATCATATCTCACCACTCTTAAAATTCTCCACATGATATGTAAAGGATTAGGGGATAAGGAGGTTGACAATTTACTTGGACTTTCTGAAGACCTTTGGTCTTCTTCAAAAATAAACAGTGCATTGTCTCAGATCAAAACTTTTAGAATAAAATATGAAGCAAAGAATTTCACAAAAAAAAAAAAAGAAAAAAGCTAACAGTCGGTACATCAAGGTTTGGTGTTTGTTCCAGTGTTGTGTAATGTAGAAATGAAACACTTGGAGAGAGAGAGAGAGAGATTGAGCGTTTAGATACAAAAATTTGCACATAGCACAAAGTTATCTGGATCAATTGTGGCCAGGGGAGGCATCCTGTGTGAGGGCCTCTTAGTGGGGATCTGAATGTCCTTTGAGAATGGGCAGTGGGATGGACATTTTAATTTGCGTTTGAAGTCTCATCTACTGGAAGTTCTTGTCCCTGTTACAAGATTGCTAATTTTGCCTATCATGGAGCCCTGCACTGTTGAGGCAGTGGGCACTGCCTGGGAGAGAACGCTGTGGACACTGTAAAGAACAGTTCAATGCATTTGTTCAAGTAGAGGATGTAGGTTCATCTGAATGTTAGGTGTGATATTGGTTCATCTTGATGGGATTTTTGAAGAATAAGAGGAAGTTCAGAAAGTTCTGACATGACAGTCACGGAAAAACTCTCATGACGGGGTAATAGAAAAGATTGTGATTGTCTTTGAAAGGAAAGAAGTGGACGTTTTGGACGCTGTGTTGAGGGACTTGATTTAGTGAGAACTATTGGTGATAGGTGGATGGTTGGACTGGATGATCTTGTAGGTCTTTTCCAACCTTGGTGTTTCTGTGATTCTGTGAAGTGGACAGAAATGACAAAAAAGTTTGGCCAGGAACTTCTATTTTCCCTATATTATAGCAAGAACAAAGGGAGAGACAATAAATAAAGTGAAATACTACCTCTTTCAAACCATAGTTCAATTGCTGAATTCACTCTGGTAGGAAGGCATTGAGGACAAAAGTGCATCAAAATTCAGAAAAGGATGGGCTATTCTGTGTATTTCCAAAGGAGCTAGATGTAGATAACTGGAAGTGATACTGCATTTATCCCTCAGGTCAGACCTATTAGATAGTGTTGAACTATTTGTCTAGGTTAACTGAACCATCTTTTAGATTTTTGGACACTTTTATCTCTGAGGATTCAATAAATGTTTTGGAAATATATTTTCCTGACTTCATTACTGTCTCCCTTTAGAGACTAGCCATCTTCCAGGAAAGACTGAATTCATTACAGAAACAGAATTCATTACAAAGATGTCTGTGGACCTTCCTAGGTTCTTAAGCTGTAAACTTTACACTCCAGGTAAGGCAGTCTGCCATTTCCCACTTTCTAGAGCTGCTTAGGAATGAAAATGGCCCATAGAAGCTACTGGCAGAGAAGGAAATAAAAAAAAATTGAATAGCTGTTAGCTCAATGGGTAGGTAGGAAACAACTGTCCTGAGTTTCTTTTCCCAAGATTTCTTCCTTGCCACTTAGTTTTTGGATACTGAATCCCTCCATCAATAAACTGGGTATAAAAATATTACCTTACACTACCTTGTCAATGGGATGTTAAATTTAATAATTGGAAAATGCTCTGAGACTTCTGGATGAAAATCTTCCTGGAGTGATGATGCTGGAAAGTAGCAGAGCCACGCGAAATAAACGTGCTTTTTAAAAACAGTTGCTCTTTTTTGACCTTAAAACCTACTTTTTCCCATGAGTGTTCAATATTTCTGGAACAAACAGGAAGTAGTTTTACTTTCATAAATGTTTTACTTCTCCCCTCTCTTTATTGCTTATTCCCTTTACTAATGCATTTGTTTTCTGGGTTTATCAGAGACGGGCATAGCTTGTCACAGTGAAGACACGTTTGTTACTGCTACCCTTGAGCTTGCTTGAAGCTTCTTGTCTTTCTGAAAATATGATTGTCATTTGGATTTTGCAGTCCTGGAAAGTTCCCAATGCAAAACAAGTGCCCTTCTGCACCTAAGTGCACAACGTTGAAAGCAGCCTAGCCCATGGCCAGAGATGATTGTGGAGGTTCCTTAGTGATTTGAGGTTCAAGTGTTGTGACTTGCACATAAATCAAGTTTGAAGTGCTTTCTTTCTATTGAAATGTTTGGATTTAGCATCCAGAGAGAAGTAGCAGGAGTTTATAGATGGAATTTTGATCTTTGTGATTCTCCATTGACTTGTCTTTTCTCTAGCCCCAATAAGGGAAAAGTTGGAGAAGGCGGCAGAGTAGGGGAGGGTCTGCAGAGCTTCATGCTAAAAACAGAGGCTTGATTAAATAGGCCGCCTTGTGATGAGGAGTCATTTCTATTGATCCCCTCCCATTGTGTGGGCTGTCCTGGGAGTTTCCTCTGAAAATCCCAATGGTTTGAATTTTCTGCATGGTTTGTACTCAGCCTCTCCCTCCATGAATAGAATAGCTTTTGCTGGAATTTTTGCTGGATTTTCTGTGGTTATTGGCTGAACAGTGTTCTCTCACTTCAGAAAACTTGAGCAAGCATGTTCTGGAAGCACTGATGAGGGACCCCAAGTAGTTTACTGGCTTAGAGGTTTTCACGTAATGAGCAGACATATTCCTGGGACACAATTGCCCCCAGGAAACAGATTATAATTTACTGTCTCAGGTGGAAGTGTTCATTCATTATTTGGATTGCAGGAGTGATTTGGAGTTTCATAAACACATAAATTTATGTCCTACAGAGTTTACAACTCATGGTGATAGAAAAGCAGGCCAGCCTCAAGCAGATCGGGAAACATAATACAGTCCTATAAGATGAAAAGTAAACAGAACTGTGAAATCGGGACACCAGATGCTGTTTTGTAAGCATCAATTCTATACATTATTGCTTGGTAAATATAGTGGCTAAGAGGAAGGAATTAATTTTAGAAGGGAGAGAGCACTTGAAAAATCCATGCTTTGACACTGTCAGGTAAAGAGACATTCAGGATGTCTTCCTGCCATAGGATTGCTCTGATTGAACACCTACACAAGTAGGGTAGAGGCCAAGATCTGCAAGGAAAATGTAACTCTTTCCTGGGTGTATTTTAACATCTTGCTAAAATTAATATGCTATATTTGCCTGTCTGCTGCACTGTCTCATAATCTAGTTACAGAATTTTGAAGGGGATTTATGCTCTGTACCTTCACTTGCATGGCAAGTTGCATCAAGCTTCCTCATGAACCCTCTTTATCATTTGAAGTCCCATGCCTCAGGCGTGCCCCTGAGCCACCCGTCAGTTCTTAATGCCGTGGCTGAGGTTCATCCAGCTCCATGAACTAGATTCCGTGCTTGTAACTGTTTGCTGGTGGTTCTTCTTTGTACAGTCCCATTTAGAACAAACTGAAGATTTTATCTAGTAAAAAATGGGAGTCAATATTCAATGAAAATTCAAGGCAAAAATTCCTTTTGGTTGTTCTGTTTGTTTTTGAATTGGCCCCACATATTCCACTTCCCCGTGTGGGGAACGAGCCCTTCTGTAAGAAAATGCTGCTTGTAGCTGTTCCGTATCAACTCTGCCAGAAGCTAAATTGCACGGAACTACTTCTTCACTTCAAAAGATCAGATCTTCATATTTGTTATTTCAGTGTCTTGGAAAGACTTGGTTTTGTTCTTCAATTGAAACACAGGAAGTTTACATTAGGAAAGAGAATTTTTTTCCCTCCTTTTATTTCCTCTTGATGTATTATGTCTGGCCCTCTTGTCCTGTAAGCAAATGCAGCTCTTCAAAAAAAATATCAGATTTTCAGCAAGATAGAAACAAATCCTTTAAGGGAATCCTTAGAGATCTGGAGAACTCTCCTTCAAGATAGAAGCAAGCTGGAGGGTTTGTTAGTCTTCTTCTTGTTGGCTCTGTCCTTCTACTTGTGAGCTGCCTGGGGAGATACATGAAGTTGGTCTTTTTTGTTTTTCAGAAGTTGATCTGCCTCTGAAAAAAGATGGCTTCACATCAGAAAGTACAACACTGGAAGCCTTGCTGCGTGGAGAGGGAATAGAGAAAAAGATGGACACTAAAGAGGAAGACCCTATACAAGAAATCCAGGTAAAGGAGATACTTCTGCATTGACAGCAGTGCTGATTTTTATGATTTGTCTCTAAGCATAGCAGATTTTGTCCTATTGCAGAATAGTTCATCTGTTGATAGTTGTGTCGTTCTACTGTCAAAATGTTATAAAACCATTGTGCTACACTGTGATGCTCAAAATGAACTGAGGATCTCTCTTCTTCTGTCACAGACATCTCAGTCACTTGGCTGTGTTCTGCTCAGCTTATGTGTTGCAATTTACAACAGTAGGAGACAATTGCATAAAGAATGAACAAGTGGAGATGGGTCCCAACTGTAAATCAAATTTTAGTGTCTCAGATTTAGAATGAGTTTGAACATTGGTTTGAAGTTGTACTTCCAGCAGTTGACTCTTTAAAAAACAAAACAAAACAAAACCCCAAAAAACAAATAATTAAATACATTCTAATGTTAATTATCTCAGTTATTATTAGCAATGAAAAACATTGCCTCTTTACATGCATTATGATTGGAAACTTATAGGAGTGTTTGTCAAGATTCCATTTCATCCTTTAACAATATAAAAAAGTAGAAACACATTTGTTGGTCTGTCACAGAAGGAAACGTAAAGGGTTTGTAAGGGTCTCTTCCTTCACATAGGCATTTTAAATTGCTAGGAAAGCAGGCTTCTCCTATGGGAACAGCAGCAAATATTTGGTGATGGTAAAACACCATTGCATTATGAATCTCTGCTAGTGATGTTTAGGGAGAATCATTAGCAATATGTCTATCTTGATCATTTTGGCTGAGATACAAGATGTTGCATCTATACCTAAAACTAGTAAAAATTAGAGTAGGCAGACCCATGCCAAATAAAATAGAAATGTGCAGGCTTCAAATATATATTATTTAGAGATCAGTCCTACCGATCTATTTGCCAGTGTTCAACTGAACATGTAATGGCAGCAAAATTAGGTCTCCCAGTAGCACAGATAAAGGAACACCATCAAAGAGGAAGCGTCTTATGTACAGCTGGTACATAACAGAGTAGAGGATTTTGTCCTGCCATGAATTAGTATTGAATGTGAGTCTGTATCATTTACTGGAGAAGACTTAGAATAACCTTTTAACCATGTGTCAGAAAGGCTAAACCCTTTCTGCTGGGAATTCAAGTGATTATCCTGGCAGTGTCATCAAATTTGCACATGGTTACTTACTCTCCATGTCTTAAATTGATACTGGAATTTGAAATGAAGAAAGTGGTTTGTAGCATTCCTCTTAACTTCACTTGTGTAGTGTTATTAGTATAAGCTAGCTCCTTCTTGCCCCATATACAATATAGTGTCAGCCTTCTCTTTTTTTGTTTTTGAGATAATTTGAGACATGAAGCGCAGTGAAAATATAGATTCATATCAGTAAGTTTGCATATTTTCTTACATAGCACTAGCCTTTTCACGCACAACATTTTCCAAGTGCTGTAGTTAACTAAGACCAAGTTATATGTAATTGCGTGAATTTTAAAGAAATATTTTATATATATAGAACTGGAACTTGTTCAGCTTTTCCACCTTCTAATGTTTAGCAGTCAAGTACTATGGGAAGTTAGATTTCATGATGGTCTAATCTTATTAATAGCTTCCTGAGATTTAGAAGTAAAAGAAGAAACCAGATGAAGAGTTGCTCCTCTACTGTGTTCAAAGAACTATTTGTCATTTACAAAAAGGCACTGTCCTATAACAGTCTTAAAAATCTAGCTGATAAAATAAGTATAAAGTTGTACAGCCGGACTTCCAAGCACAGGCTTTTTCTTTAAGTTTCTCTTATAGTCTTTCCCCCAAATTCACAATTCAGTGCTTGAGATGTGTAGGAAGAAAACAAATCCACTGTGATTTGCTTCTACGCTCTCTCTATGTTGGCTCTCAAACAGCTGTTAACTAGAAATTATGTGGAAGTGACAAAAATAGTAAAAGGTTAAAGAAAAGCTGTCCCATCAGTTTAAAGTCATGTATTTGAATCTGGAAACATTGTAGTTTAGGTGAATGATGTCATAGTACCCACATAATGAATGGCAAGAATACCTCCAGCTCCTATCTTTATTTGCAACAGGGATGCCAGAGATTGAGGGGGATCCCAGCAGCTTTCCACATTAGTGTTGTGATGGTTTATCTTGCCATCATCTGTGCTGTGTCCAGTTTGTACATGTTTTGTCCTGGATTTCATTCTGTTGAGGTTATGTTTCAAAAGGTCAAGTTGAAATTCCCTGACACTGTTATGTGAGATGATGAATTGTTATTGTAGTTTTCATTATTATTCCTATTAAATAATTAATTGAAGTAACTATTGTTCTCATCAGCTTCAATGAGGCCTGCACTTCTCCAGTATTCACATGCTGCAAAACCCTTCTTTTCCTTCCTTGACTGATACCAATAGCGTTTTTTAATAAGAACTCCTTGAAGAACTAAGGGTGAAAGGGAAAGCAGATTTTGCTTTAGCAGGAAGAAATACAGATTCTGGAATCTTATTTAGCATTATATCATTAATCAAGTGTAATTTAATAACCTGCAGTCTCTATGGTAAAGAGCAGTAGTTGTTTGTATGTGCCATCTTTTCTTCTAACCGTTCCTATTTATTGTTCAACCACAGAGGGTTTTAGAAAACGATGAAAACGCAGATGAAGTGAATGAAGAAGAGGATTTGGAAGAAGATATTCCAAAACGAAAGAACAGGCCAAGAGGACGGGTAGGTGCAATCAAACAGAAAGGAAGGAAGCAAGCTTCTGCTTTCTGGTGTATGTTTTTAACATGTGTTGTATATGCAAAGTGTATATCCATGTAGGTAATTTTCAGTGATACAGTCAGATTTTTTTTTACTTTACTTTTTGCAAATTATAATGTGAAGAGACTACACTAAGAGTAAAAACTTGGGATGAATTATTTATAGTAACATATTTATAATTTTTACATATAGTTATTATGTTGACATCCTGCTATTACAATGCTCTTATTCTAAAACAGCATTTACTAATGAAAAAAAATATTGATACATTCAATTGTGACACCAAAAAAACCCCAACCTATTAATAAAAGTAACTTGAACTACATTCATATGTTTTGAAGCTTTCTCCAAGGTAGTGCTTTGTGGTTGACATTTTGGCCCTCTTGAACCCTTTGGCAAATCTTCCATTTGCTTAAAATGGGCAATATTATCCTTAAGGGAGTCTGCGTCCCTTCTCTTACCTAAGACATCTTTTCACAATTTCAGCAGGGCGCCAGTTAAGTAATAAAGCTAATGTTTTAAAACTTGGAATCAGCATTTTTAATTGTGGCCCCTGAAGCTAGGCATCTGAATGAAATGAACATAATTCTCAGAAGTTTCAAGCATTTTCATCTCTCCTTGGTTCCAGTAGATGCTGCAGGGGCACAGGAGCTCTAGAAGTACCTTTTGATGTGTTTGCAGAAGTCAAGCAAGAAGGGCCACATTTTAGACCAAATAAGCAGGATATAATAGCTTTTGAGTAAGAGAGGGACATGAAACCACACTGAATACTTACAATGTGCTTATGCATCAAACCCTCTCTTTTGGTTTCTTCTGTTGTTGTATTGTTTCAGTTTTCTGCTCCTCTTTATTTTGGAGCTTAAATTCTTTAATATAAGATCAAAGCACTTTATTAACTGGATAAGTATATATTTCACCTTCCTTATTCTCAAAATCACCTGAACCAGTTTCTTTCTTTCTTTCTTTCTTAGCCAAAGACCCCCACCTGGAAAAAAATTTTCCAGAAAAATGTAAGTTTCAGAAAATTTGTATGAACCAGTAACCAAAATGAGGAGTTAGAATCGATAACGCACACAAGCTTGACTGTAGCTATCAACAAGCATTCGAGGCTAACAAGTATTTTCTAATAAGCTGCTCTCACATACATTGTGCATGCGGATTAGGGTAAGTGAAGGGGAGCAAACAGCTATAAAAGCCTACTCAAGAGAAGGGAGTTAACTGTATGCATATATTTCAGGCCTACACAAACACAGTCCTGAAGTTATTATGTGCAAAGTTCTACTCCCCTGTTCAGGAAACTGATTGAGAATATCTGTTACTTTCTTTCTCCTGCATTAGAGGAGGGAGTTGGAGAGTAAGTGTCCTATTCATTTTAAAGCATACGTGTACAACTTATCTCTGCCCTGGAACTGGCCCCCTATTAAGAACAAGAACAGCAGAATCTCCTGTCTTTTCTGTTGCTAACTCCTGCTCTGCTAGTGCCCTGGCTTCACTTGGTGCAAAAAAAGAGAAGTTTGAAGAGTGCCAAATATTTTGAGCAATTTTTGTTTTTATTTGATGGCATCAATAGCCAAAGTAAAATGTGGTATGAATTACGATTTCAAAATTAGGACCAGATTCCTAGCTGTTGAAAACTGGTAAGCCTGAACTGAAGCCTGAATTACATCTGTTCACGACTATTCTGTTACTTTTCAAGCAACCCTTTTCAAATGTTAGCCTGACCCAGTGTAGGGAATCGGCACTGAGGATTTGAAATTAGGGGATATGAAACTTGGGCAGCACTTTGTTTCTGGGAAGGAGGCGGTCAGGGTATTTTTAGAGAATAGAAGAAGGGAGGGATGTCTGTAGGAAACTAGATCCTGCAGAGTGTGGCCTTTGGGAATTCAGAGAAGGAGTGAGGGCTGGCAGCATTGATAAAGGGTTAATGCGGCAGATCTACTGCTTTGGACATTCCATTGGCCCTTCCTTTTCCTACAGCATGATTTTATTTTTAATCCTTTATTCCTCCATCTGTCCCTCTGGCTACCTTCTCTGGCTGCTTGAGGACTGCTTCAAGGCTGCTCTGCCATGGCTCCCAGGCCTCACATGTCTCATTGCTTGTGCTCTATCCTGTCAGAAAGATGAAGGCAATCATGGGTGACTGAATTCAACAGACTAGAGTGCTCACAGCAAGCACGTGGCACTCAGTTGAGAGCTTCTGGTGCAGCTGCTAAGTTTGCTACCCCCTCAAAACTGGTCCTGACATCATAGGACTGTTAGGAAGGACGCTGAAGACTGAAGGAATGGATTTTCAGAAGGAGCTTTTTAGTATCTGTGATAGACAGGAAAAATGTTGTAGGAGCTAGGAAGGACATTTTGCTAGGAGACAGGAGAGGAATGCAACTGCACCTATACAGACTGCAAGCTCCTCAGCTGAATATCCCCTAGAACTTTTTCAAAGACACTGAATGTGTTTAGGAATCAAGCTCCCAGTGAAAATCATTGACTTGAAAAATCTCCCTATGTGTACAGTGCATGAAAAAGTACACCTGATGTGCGGTCATGACATGAATGCTGTACCCTTACATTTCTGTGGAGAACTGTTGGAAGGGGAATGGCTGGCTGCAGGACTAGTGAAACTCGGAGCAACAAATGTTAAATTGTCATCCTATTATGAAAGGTGTCAATGTAAAAATGAAATGTCTTTACTCAACAGACCTATTCTCAGCATGTAGAATCAAAACTACTGACTAATAACAACAACAACAGAAAAGGCTTTACAGTTTATTCACAGCCCTGAAAAGCCAATGCAGCATGGTAGGATAGGGAAATTGGATCCTAATCCAGGTACCAAAAGAAATATTTATTAAGAGACAATCAGATGTGTCTGTGAAGGCTCTCTGATGAGCTGAGGGTTGTACAGGAGCTGCCAGAGACCTAAATTCAGCTTGCAGCACATTTTGTAGTAGTGATTGAAGAAAGAAACTTGCCTTGGATTGATTTCGTAGCCCAGAGGGGATTTACAAAGCTGACAGTCAAAGAGAAAAATATTGTAGGCTAGTAAACTGATTTTTAATGTGGTGTGGTCAGTGAAGTAGCTTCCACCAAACAATGTTGTTCGAGTCCTTTTCCAGGGCAAAACTGCCTTTCAGTTCACCCTTACAAATCTCACTTTGCACGTGTGTTGATCTGCACAGAGTTCCTTGCAGAAGGCAGAGCTATACTTGTCATACCTAATAGTACATACCCCATCCAGAGACCTGCGAATCCACGTCTTTCCTTCAGGACTGTGTAAAGAGACCTGAGAAATCCCAAGGAAATAATATGTGACGTTTTTCTAAATCCCTGTTTTGATAGACTGTGGTAAAGCTACTGTAAAACTTCCTTTGTGCTTCTCAAACAGTGCAAGTTCAGTCTCAAATGCATAGAAGGACAATGATTACATGACTGCTTAGGATCTAGGGAACAAATATTCTCAGGATTTCTACATCTTCTCTGGCTTTACTTGATGAAGCTTTCTTGTTTTCACATGCGAAAGCTTGAAGGATTTGAGTCAGCTGGCCTTGTCTAGGATGAGAGACATCAACAATTTAGTAAGAGGAGCAGCAAAAACCATTTTGTTGCTTTTAACCAGGAACAGATTGGCTGACAGTATTTCATAGTTTACAACCTAGCCATCCACCTGCAGATCACTTCTTCACACAAAGATCAAGTCTTAAATTATTGTTATCTGCAGACAGAACATTAACGTTAAACAATTTAAGGCCTTGTCTCAGTTTCCAGTTACACATCAAAACTATTCCCCTTGACCAGATATGAACCATCCCCTTGTTGGCGTCTCAGCTGAGAAGGGTTAGAAAGAAGTGGCTTTGGTGCTGGATTTCATTCTTAACCCTAGAGCTCAGGACAGAACAGTGTGTGCTGTGGAGAAACCGAGGTTTTCAGTTTCCAGGGCTGTCAACTGGCTATGTTTTAGGAACACAGAACTGCAAAGAGACCTTTCTGGGTAATTCCAATTCTTTGCTCTTGCAGGTAGCCATTTACCTAATCTTTTCCACTAGCTGACTCAATTTTATAGTTAGCGACAGTATCTTTGTGCCAGTTAGAAGGCCCTTTCGAAACAGTGTTTTACAGCTAGGAAACCAAACAAAGCAACTCCTCACCACCTCTGAAAATATTAAAGGAGGTAATTTTACCTCTGCTTTATTTGAGGCCTGTTTTCTGGTTAGTTTGAAAGTTATGTTTATCCTTTACCACCAGTTCATCTATTCGTAAATTCATATTCAGTAAGAAAAGTATTTGAACTTTTTAAAAAATGGAAGCATAACGATACTTATCTGAATACGTTCTGACAGAGACCTACTGCTAAGGATGAACAGTTTGGGTTATCTGTGGAGAGGATCTCTGCTGCATTACAAGGTCTATTAACATAGTGCATATCTTAGGAGTGGAAGGGTCAAACCCACCCTTGATAAACCTTTATGGAAGCTGAGGGTTTGTTTAGTTTATGCTGCACGTTTTTTATAGGAGGGTGAGGGGCACCAGGAGAATTGAGGGGCAGGAGAATAATGTTAACATTCCTCTTGTTCTTGCAGGCTCGGGGATCTGGAGGTGGCAGGAGACGAAATGATGCTGCCTCCCAGGATGATCATGACAAACCCTATGTTTGTGACAGTAAGTAGCACCTAGACAGCTGACTCCGCTTCCAGCCTGGTCCTGCCAGCTCGGTGCACTCTGGGTTCATCTTTTCTTTTCCAGCAAAGTATTCTGCTGCTCTCTGACTTGCATGTTTGCCACCAGCTACTGCTGCTGCTCTTAGTGTGTTTTTTTTTTTGCACGAAGGAAATAAAATAAAGTCTTCAGCAAGAATCCACTTCCCTTTGTGCTATAATAAATCATCTCTTCTATTTTCTTTCTCTTTCTCCTTCTCTTTTTCTGACTTCTAGGCTTTTTTCCTTCCCCCTGTGTAAGATTCACCTTCTATTTCTTTCTCTGTTCCTGATAGTTACAAACAAAAGCATAACCCAAAAATCTCTGACAAAGGTATTTCACCCGTGTATCACTTTACATACTTGGTGATTCCCTTCACTCCTTTGGAAATCTCACTGGGCTAAATTTTGAAGGTCTTATTTGCATCCCTTATTTAGAAAAGACTCCAGTGGCATCATCAGGAGTTGAGCCCTCCTAAGAAAGAAACAGAATTAGAATGCTCTGTTTTGATACATATTCCCTTTCAATATAACCATGCTGTTTGATGTCTTTCAATGGGACTGCAGGTGAATTAAGGCATTGCCCAAACTTAAAAAGATAATAGAGTCCTATATATGAAGAAGGAGCCCAATATTTGGTACACAATATATATTTTTTTATTATCTGGGCCTTGGTGCCTTTCTTCTTGTTACATTCTTTTTTGCTTCACTATGTAATTTTGCGAGGGGCACTTGTCTTACCCATGTGCTTTCAAGATTTCTCATCTTAAGGCTTGATAAGAGCGTATGTGCACTAAAAATTTGTACTAGAGTGCCTTCTATCATAACAAGGCAACGGCAGCATAACAAAAATTAATAGAAGTAGGAGAATAACAGGAAGTCTTAACTTTTTTGACCTAAAAGTGATTGATGGTTTTGAGGAAAATTAGAACACCTCTGTCTCCGCAGTTTAACTACCTTGCAGTGATACTGACCTTAAAAGACTGACACTACTATGTCAGTCTCTGAATGTTTTCTGCTTATTTTAAAAACATGAAGAAACATGGGCATGCATTGAAAATGAAAACTATATTGCATATGTTCAAATAATCTTTCATAGTGAGACCAAGTGACTGCATAGTACAGTGATGAACATATTGGGTATATTGCTTCAGCAAGGTGAATATTCTTAGAGCTACTGGGAATGAGTAGAAGGGGAGAGACTTTCACATAAATGAAAGTGTCTGAACTGAAGAAGAGCAGCTCTTTACAGTTTGAAGGGCTGAGAGATTTCTACAGTAGTTAAATAGCTGTTCTTGCTTGTTGGAAGAACTACACTCTATCTCCCAAGGATTATCTAGGAGGCCACTCTGTATCTTGTTGATTTCCACAGCTTTCTTCTGCTGGTGTGCACAGAACTATCTTCACCACTTTTCTGGAAAATCCCTCTAAATCCAAGGACACTTGTCAGTAGAGCAGTTGTTCCAAGCGTAATGTCTCTTTACTGTCTGATCTTGTTCTGCTTTTGGAGAGAACTCACAACATGCGCAGTAGTGATTTGCACTAAGTAGGTAAAAATCTAAGATTCCAAAGCAGGCGGCAGAAATCTGAGCTGAAGTCTCTGTTTTGGTACATCATTGTACTGATGGAATTTTGCCTTGGCTTGCATTTTGAAGCATAAATTTCCTTGGTTTTGGAAGTTTAAACTTTCCTATTTCGTTTGGCTGATGCTTTTCATTTTTAAGAAACGTGTAGTCAGAGGGTGAGTCATAAGGAATTCTAGAATCCAGATTTTATACAGTAACTACTTCATTTTCCACTGTAGATAGCTGAGAATAGGGTTATGTGTTAGCAGAACCCTTACCTGATTGTCCAGCAGAAGAACTGTTGTAATTGCAGTGCCATCATCCTGAAATGAAATACTTTGTTTGCTTACTTTCTGTAGAACTGTTACATATAATTCAATGTGAGTAATTGGCTTGTCAATCTGAGACTTCTTTCCTGCTTGGGTGATCACTGCACCAATAAATGATTTCCTTAATCAATTTTTTTTCTTTGAAATAATCTGCTAAATATGTTTATAGATAAATCTCTGTGTGATTGTGATAGTTTAGATTCAGTTTGCAGTTCTCCATGGAGAGATGTTTTGGATAGATATGTTAGTTTTATCTGGAAATATACCGGCAATAAATAATTAATTTGTTTCCTGTTCAGGAGAACATTATTCCTTCAGTCACATTATTGATATGAGTAATTACCATAATGGGCAGTCATTGCTTTTTCTCTGTATTCTTTAACTTTCCTCCAGGTTGCTTTCTTCTGTCTGTGTTCTGATACTTGAATTTGGAATGTGCTCACCAAGAAGAAGGTATAAGCACATCTAAATCAAATTATTTTTGGTATTTCAATGTATGACCACAAAAATGCACATTTTTGCATACTTGTGTGTTTGTATTTGTAGGAAGTAAGTGTATATCACTAAGTTTCTCCAGGAATGGAAAGATTTTGTGGAACACCTAGTCTGTATCAGTAAAATGATGCAAGAACTGCATCCAGCTAACATTGCCCTTTGTATGTAAGACTGCAGTGTTACTTCTGAAATGGCCTACTGTTGGAAGAAGCGTTCAGCTAGACACAAAAATGAACACATATCTCAGTATTAAAGCTGACTGGAAGTTTGGAACCTCTGTACTGAGGGATCTTTTCAAAGCTCTCAAATTTTTTTTTGTGTCATCTGATGTTCTTAAGAAAAGGTGGAACCTCTGTTTAATTGTTTGCTTGCTTTGTGGAATTAAACTTCAGTTAATTTTACTGAATATTTACTGTATGAGAAGTTCAGAATGAAATATCTGGTCATTCAAAGCTGCTAACATAATCATGACATTCTTTATTTTATTAAAATGGCAAATGGTAAACTAGTTGGCCAGATTTTCACCAGCTGCACTGGACAGTGTTGTGCCTTGACCAGTCTTAAGAAAAAAAGCTTGGATAATAGAAGTGGCAGGAAAACCTGGTGTGAGATGGATATAGGCAGGAAATGGTACCACAGCAGAATGATCAGCTGTTGTATCATAGCAGACCCAAATGTAGCCTGAATACTTGGGTAAAAGACAGAGCAGATGCTTGAATGGACAGTGAAAGGCAGGCTTGAGGAACAAAGCAAGATCTGTGGTGTCAGTCCAGAGATGTTGAAGATACTCTACCACAGCTGTTCGAAATAAACTGGGCACAGGATTTTAAAGGAGGAAGAGCATGAATGAATGTTACATACCTACATATGCAACAAGAATTGATTTCTTGTGGTTGCCAAATGATACACTGGGGAACCATCATTCCGCCAAGTCTTTTAGTCTTAGAAAATCATTTTACTATTTTCATATTGAGTGTTATGTGTTTTCTTTTGGGGAGGGATGCGGAGTATATCTGAAGTTCTACCTTGGAAATTTGTTTTCTGGTTTAAAAGTTGCAGTCAGTTGTAGCACTAATCTTCATGACTCTGGATGTCTACTTCCTTCAGCTATGCTACTTAGTTTGTGCTGAATCTCCAGAAGTTACCAACTTTCCTGCTGCCCATCCTCATTTGCCTGCTTTCATTCTTCTCATTTTCTCCCTTGCCTGCTTTCATTTCATTTCCCTACTGTGGCTTACGGACACACATAATTACTTCCACCTTTGTTTTCTCTCACTCTATCTGTGGAAAATTTCCCTACCCGTCTCTAAAAGATGTTGCTTCTTTCTCTTTTGTTCCTTTTACCTTTATATCCTTGTCTCCTTTTAGTTTTATTTCTGTACATACTATAATTGTAGAGTAACAACTTATGTTTGTATGATAATCTTTATTTATAGTTCCTCTGAGGCTGCGATATGCATTCACATCCATCTCTTGTCCAAAAATGAGAATTGACTGAAACCTTCTTTTGATCTCTGCTGGATCAGTGACTAATGCAACCTTACATGTATCTAGAGACACAGATCCCTACAATCTTTTGTCGAAGCTGGTTCTTTTGTCAAAAACATTTTAGTTTCAGGTTTCTCTAGATACTTAAAGTGAGTTTTCTCTGCGATCTTCTTTCTATGTCTGAAAACAGTTAGTGTGGCTTCTTTCAGCCATTTTTTCTTCAGATCTTTTAATAAGCTTGTTTCTTTTCTCTGAAAGATCTTCAAAGGATCTTATTTAAATAGCAGTGGCCAAAACTAAGTAGAAGGTGTGGTTCTGAGTATGAAGCAGCTCAGAAGAAAGATAAATGACTGATACATTTACATGTCACTTATATTTACCTATAGAACTTGGATTTGTGCCAGTTGCTCTGTTAGATATCTAAGAGAGATACAGAGATGGCTGATCTAGCTTATTTAGTAAGCCCATTTGCAATGCAGGACACTCATCTCCAGTGCTATGCTTTCATGTTTCAGTGGCAGAGTTTTCACCTATGTCCACCGTATGAGCTCATATTTTATAGGCCCGTTGCTATAACTTCTTGTTCCTTTGCTGATCCACCTACTCCTACTGAGTCTGAATATCTGTCATCTTTAGTTTCCTCATTATACTGCCCTCTCCTGTTTACACCATGTTTTACTGATGTTTTACTAGATGTCATATTAATATTTACTAATTATTTTACTGTTTGAAATAATTTTTGATTGATAAAGCTTGTGTGATATATTTTTAATTACTATTCCAAGATTTTCTCCAAGAATCAGTTCTCTGCATGCTTGATTCTTTCACTCTCTATTCCACCCTCCAAATTAATTGTAAAAATAGAGGCAAGCATTGGGCCCCAAATGGACTCTTTCAGGTACTTGAAGATGCAGAAAAGTGCCTTGTGAAGTTTTCAAAAGATTAGGCTCCTAGTTCTCGCTGATTTCTACCGGAGGTAGGCTCTTAAAATGTTTTCTGTAAATATACCACTAAGTGCCTATCTGCTTGTATTGTGCCTGTAGATCATATAAAGCTTGGTCTCTTGGTGAACACTTTGAACTTGATGA